GTTGCACTAGTACTTCAAAGTCCTTTGGGGCTAAAGCAGATGTTTTGCGAGCACAGAATAGAGGGCAGTTTCTGCTCCCAAAAGCTTTGCCCAAGTTAGTGTTTGGAAGAGCTCGCCAAAGGGGCTGGTGGGCTTGCAGTGATGTGTGATCTTTAAAATGAGACAGAAACCTTTCTAAAAATGGCATTCCAACTCCACCCACAAGATATGAGCCAGGTTTATTAACCCCAAGTAAAGTTCTCTGCGTAGCGATGTACAGAGAGGGCACAGGGGACTCTTCTGGGTTGAAAGTCAAAGAATAATGTTAGCTGAATAAATCGGAGCTGTTTTATCCTAAGCAGCACAAAAACAACATTTTTCTGCTGAGTCCGGTTGGTTTTTTAACAGCAATGTTCTCCTTCGCATCAATCCTTCTCTGAAGGGATTTATTTGGAGTCAGTGATGCAGGGCTCCCAAGGTGACATCCAGAGGTCCTGTCCAGCCGAAGTTGTTCTCCGGGTCCTTGCTTCTAAGTGAAAATGCAGCCCCCTGACTGTGCTGTGATTTATCAGCTGTGGCAATGCTGTGCCGCTGGCTCCCTTTCCACGCAGACAGTGACTGACTTGATTCACCCCGCGGTAACTCTGAGCTTGCAAAAGATATTTCATGGGTTTGCACAAAGTCCGTCCAGCAAAAGAGTTTTATTTTTGTCAGGACTGCCAGCCAGGTTATTAAGGACACCTCTGTTTGTAGGATGCTGAAAATGTCTCAAACACATAAACACATGTGCTGGATGGAAATATTAATGAACAAAGAGAGAACTTAAAATCTGGCTCAGTGATAGATCTCCAAATTAATTTGTTAATTGAAAGACATCTATGATTGAAGCTGTTTCTAGAGAGTTCCTTGTAATCAGGTCTAGGATCCAGCCCTACTCAGTATTTTTATCACTGTCTTTGAGGATAATTTAAATGTTTGCTGGTAAAATCTTCAAAGCTTGGTGTGGTAGCAAACAGAATATGCACATCATTTTGATATAGAGTGATCTGCCTCATGTGGCTACACGGGCACAGTCAAACAAAATGTGTCTTAATGCAGCCAACTGAAAGATAATACCCCTGGGAATGAAGAAAGCATGTTATACTTACGGGTTGGGAGACTGTTAAAAAGCAATGACTCAGAACAGGATTTAGAGGTCATTGGAGATAATTGTCTCAACATGAGTTCTCAGCGCAAGGCTGTTGCTAAAAGGCTACTGTGATCTTTGGAATTATTAAAAAAAATAAAAAACAGAAGCAGGGAAGCGATCTTGCTTCTGTACCCACCAATCCTGCTCCAGTTCTGTGTCCAGCCTTGATGCCCACAGCGGATGGGAGGGCTGGAAAACAAACCCTGCCATGGGAAGTTTAATCTCCTCCTCCACTCAAAGAAAAGGTTGAGAATGCCTCGAGTGCCAGAGGAGAGGTATTGGTAACCTTGCAGATAAAGGTGGAATGAGCTCCAGTGGCAGGATGTTGGAGTGAGACAAAATTCAACCTTGAAATAAGAGGCAGTAATTAAGCGTTTGAATAGCTTACCGGAGGAAGTGGTAGACTCACTGTAATCAGCTGTCTTTGAAATATGAGATATCTTTCTAAAAGACAGTCTTTAATCCAGTTCTGGGAAAAAAAGAGACAGTTTGTGTATATAAGAAGTCAGACTAGCTAATCATAGTAGCCTCCTTGACCTTAAAACATATAAATTACTGTAATTCTCTCCAAGTAGAACTTTTAGCCTTGAAGGGAAGGAATTCAACAACACATTTGCTCTGTGATTTCAAGGAGCCGTTGTCATATTATGGCTGTATGTTGCATAATGGGGCTTTTTTCAAGCCCATAACTATATAAACATGGTCCTAACTGAAAGCTGCTGGTGCTGCGTATTGGCAGTCCGGGAGCTCCCTGAATTGGGAATCCAGGCATTGATCTTGACTGGCTGGCTTTGCTGTAGCAAACCTTGGGCTGCAGAAGTCACTGAGCCTACGTTCATCTTTCTGTCTCTGAAAATCTGCAGTGAGTTCTGAGGTGAATTCACCTTTTTGCTTTAAGAATTTCAAAGGCATTTGTATTTTGAGTTCATACTGCTCTGTGAAATCTTACCTTGATATATTTTTCTTAGCTTCCAGAATTGCCTTGTTCCCACAAGGCTGTTTTTTTTGTTTGTTTGTTTGTTCATTTGTTTTGGTTTGTTTTTAATATTTTGCTCTGATTTCGTTAATCCATGCAGCTGCCCAAATACCTTGCTCTTCAAAGGCCTTACAAATGTCACTTTACCTTCACTCTTCTGACTGAGCCAGTAAGACATCTCAGGGCATGAGAAATCATACCTGTGTACAATTTCATTATATCTCCTTACAGTTCACTGGAAGGCACCACTTGGATCACTTATGGATCATGTGATAAAAAGCACATGAAAATGGTATTCAGAGGGGCACATCACTAGTTATAATCTGTTTTGTGGCTTAACTCTTGCTGTTCTCCACACCTCAGACTATTTAAATTTTCCAAGCTAAAGAAATACTTTGCCTTGAAACTGCTGCTAATATCAGAGAGAGTTGAGTAACTAAACTCTGCTTCAGCTTTGGAGAACCTTGAAGGCTTTAAGATGTGAGTGAAGAAGCTCTTTGGTACAGTTAGCCCATGCACGCCTCAAAAGCATTAATGGAGACATTAATCTGCAGAGGAGGCCTTCGCATTATCCATCTGCACAGAACATAGTCCTGTGCATCTGTTCTTCAAACACTCATCCACTCCTCCCAGCAGAAGGAAGATTTCCTTGCTGTCTCACAGCTTCAGGTCCCCAGATTTGCTTCTGATATCTGAAATAAAGACGTGGCAATGAGGAGGTATAGACCAGGTGGTACCTGCCATCCTCTCAGTGTCTGCAGCCTTAGAAAACATTATTAGTGTGTGGGAGAAAATGACAACATTTTATTTCTTAAAAATTGTATAGTAACAGAGCTTGCTTTTAGTTTCATGTCTTTCTCCTTTTTCCTTTTTTTTTTCCTTTTTTTTCTTTTTTTTTTCTTAATAGGTAGTTATATATAGGCGTCCTATGTCCATGCAGGCCTCTATTTCGTGAGCAGTAGCTCAAATTCCACGTGAGTTTTGACCTTCCAGAATGCTACTGGCCGAATCATCTATAAAAAGCCTTTTTTTTTAATGGGCAAATAAAATATAATTAGTCTTTTTTCATTATCACTAGTCATCAAGAGAAAGGGCAGATGGGTAGATTTTGTGCCTGAGCTGATAAATTTTCGTGGCAATTTTGCAAGGTGTTATAAAGTTGCAGAGATATCAGTGCAGACAAAGGTAAGGATAATGGATGGGAGTTTTTTCAAAAGCACTTTTGCTAGTCTAATGCTGCTCCCATTATCATTAATGGCAGCTGCAGAGCACTTGTGAAAATGACTCTTTGTGTGTGTATGTGCGTGTGCACGTGGAGCAGGCAGGTCATTGCGCTCTTACCCAACATAGATTGGAAGCTCTGGGAACATCAGGCAGGCCTTTTTTGTTCAGTTTTCCTTGTAAGGGTAGCTACATGAAATGATCTTGTCAGTGATGTTTTATGGCCCTAAAATCTCCCAAGACCGACTGATATAACTCAGCAGAATCCTAGTCCATGACATGTAAGCTATCGTAAGTGCTACAGCAATAATAGTAGTTCAGATTCAGGTCCTAGCTGTATTACAATAAATTTGAAACAATACTAATGGCATTGGCAAAAACACTTCTAATTTGTACTGGTGTGACTGGGTGAAACTGAAACTCACAGTCATAATGGTAGACTAACTTGTTTTATTTCACTGTTTTCTTTGAAATTGAAAATATATTATCCTGACAAGCCCAAATCTCAGCCCACTGCAGGACAGACCCATCTCTCAGAACAGTTTTACTCTGCACATTCATTTTTTGCTTCCAAGCTGAAATTGCCAATAGGATGTTAGCCGTAAAGGTGGTTCCTCTGATATATAGAGCTCCCAACAACTAGACTGAGACCAAGCATTCATTTCACATAGACCTTTGAGGAGCTGTCACATGGCAACAATTTTCCTTCCCTAACAAACTATCTTGTTTGGACGGATGACTTGGAAGCGAAGGGCTGCATATCCCATTACCCAAGACCAAAAATATCCAGTGCCCCTATCTGATGTAAAAATCCATCTCAACTACATGCTAACAGCTTTTATTTCTGAATGTGATGCTTCATCAAGCCTCCTCTGAGCTTGTTTTGTGTTTCCTTTCCTATGACTGCTTTTTACCATGCTGTTTGCAATGATCAGTAGCATCTCAATGATCTGGGAATCAGGTGGACGAAGGGGCAGGGTAGCAGCAATTTGATGACCTTATAGATATGCAAACCCTCATTTTGCCAGAATACATTAGATAAGCTTTACTCAAGTATGTGGCTACTGTCGTTATTGTTTTTATTATTATTTAGCAGTTGCTGGAAGTACAACACTTGTAACCTGGGAGTTCAAGGTCCTTTGTTAACGTGTGTCTGCACAGAAGAAGTTGACACAGAACAAAACAGGCTGAATTTCACTGTTTTCTTCTTTGCTTACTTCTGAAAGAGATCCTGATAGTTCTGGGGGGGTGCAGTGTGTTTCTGGTTTCTGCAGGAAACAGAACGCAAGTACCAAAGTTACTGTTTTAAGCACAGAAAAAAAAAAAAAAAAAAAAACTTTGGGGATCTCTTAAGGTATCTGAGTGTCTGAGATGTGAAATGACTTATCCCAGAATCAACCTCAAATATGATTTTTTTTAGCTTTGAATATCAGGTGAATATAGATGAGTATTTTCATATATATGCATACACATAGTAATGTACATTTGATGTTATTGGGACTTTAGAGAATATGCCTTAATTTATTCAAGTATAAATAGTCATTTCGCTGTTGTGTGCATTGGAAGGAGCTTTTGCCCCAAAGCCTGCAACACTCCATATTGCCATTGCTCCAAAATTTTCCTTGCCTTCTGCAGATGGCCTGGTGGATTGCATGGACCCAGACTGCTGCTTGCAGCCGTTGTGCCACGTCAACGCGCTGTGCCTGGGCTCCCCAGACCCCCTGGATATCATCCAGGAGACACAAGCCCCCATCTCCCAGCAGAGCTTGCATTCCTTCTATGATCGGATCAAGTTCCTGATCGGCAAGGACAGCACCCACATCATCCCAGGGGACAATCCCTTTGAAGGCGGGTAAGTGAATATTATTTTCTTTCTTCACTAAGAAATAAAGCACAAGCCACCTACCCATAGCACGATATGGAATGCAAATTGTGTTAATAAGGGATGCCAGCAAGAGGCAGGACACAAAGCCTCTCGTTATCAGTCTCCCAAGTGTTTGTCTGTGTGAAGTAAGTATCTGATGGATATTGTGGTGGATGTAGTTCTATTGACTGTCCTTCTGGCAGAAAGTCAGGCACAGCTCAAGAAATCAAAGTATGGAGACATTCTTCTGCACTGGGGGATCAGTATTTTATATGGCCTCTCTTACTTCGAACTGTAAAACCTTCTTTTGGTTGTGCTTATTCTGGTGGACCGGTAGAATTTCTTCTGCTTTATTCCATCACCTTTCTTACTTTTGTTGCTTTTATGAATCAGTCCATTATAGAGATGTTTCACCTTCCATTTACACCCAGGGATTGTGTCCCAGACCACCCATGAATTTTGCAAAACAGTGAACGGTCCTCAAAATCAGTGCATAGGTAGGTTGCCTTTAGACACTGCAGTCAAAACATGTCTCCAGCAAGAATTTTCAGTCCCTGTGCAATATGTCTGTGATTTACTTCTAATAACTTAAGGTCCTGCCAGCTGGCAAGACAAGGTGCTGCTCTCTGAATGCACGTGGGCAGTTGCATCTTTCCTACTTTCCTACTTTCTTTCATTTCAAGGAGTAAATGCCATTATTTATCAGGGCTCTTCTAGTTGTCTAGTTGTCAAAGTGAATGTCATTTAGCAGAAGTATCCAGTAAACAGCAGCAGCAGGTGTTCTTCCATGTTACAAAGAGATTTGACAGAGCCAATACAGAGGGAAACTACAAATGTATTTACAGTGTCTGATAACAGATGACTATTACAGCCCCCTAAATAACTAGAGACAATCTTATAGTACAGGAAGAGCCAATAAAGTGACTTCTGATATAAAAAATCAAGTAGAATATAGATTGGTTTTAATATTAGACGCTCTTTCTATCACTACCACATAATCCAAAAATGGAAACTGGCAAAGAAATCTTCTGAAGTTTAGTTCTGTGACTGCATTTCAGCCATTCATGCCTGGCTCTCAGGAGAGGGAGTCCGCACCATTTTGTAGTTACAAAATCGTGTGCTTAAAGCAGGACATCATAATGTACATGATGGGATGTGGGCTTCTTAAATTCCCATGTGTCTTCTCTGAGTGCTGCCTTTCAGAAATCCTGCCCCTGAGCCATGAGATGCTTCTTGACACTTGGTTTAATTCCACTTGATTATGAACCCCTTCCTTTCAGCTTTCCCCCACAAAGCAGTGAATGGGTCGGCACTGAAAACATACAAGCCCCCATGTTCAGATAAGCTAATTCAGCACTTGTCTCTGCAGCCTTCTCAAGCCCTTCTGCATCTGACCATGCTCTTTCCTGAGGGGATACTGCCACCATCTCATGGGTAGGATGCTCTGAGCACTGCATAGGTCTGCAGGCTGACCTCGGACTCGAGCATCGTAAAAGCATGCCAGTGCCAGGGAGCTCTATCCTGATGTGCTGCTGTCCCTGCTTTGCCTTCCTGCCCAGCCAGAGCCCTGGAAAACTAACTGGAGTGTTCACCGTGAAGGCCAAGCAATCTTTATGTGGCAAGCAACGTTTGTCTGTGTTTTCAAGACTGCAGATTCTGGACCTTAAGCAGTCCAGTCTCTTGACTAAATGTTAGTGTAGGGACTTCTCTGCTATCAATTGTTGTGATTTGTTGCAATAAAAACAGGCATTGTGATATAAAACAGATGATAAACTCAGTTTCATTTTCTAGGGCAGTTAGATCATAATTCCTCAGCTGTTCTCACCATCAGAAGCCTTTCAATAGAGGACTCTCCTATCGGAGCCATGTATAGCCTTTTGGATTAGGTAGGGAGTTTTGATAGATGTGGGTCTAGTATCATGTCCATGCTGAATGAACTTTTCTACTGACAACTGAAGCACCATAGGAGTCCTCAGGCAAGTATGATAAAACACTCTGCAACCTCTCTTTAAAAGACTGCTAGCATTCGGCAGCACACAGAAATGGAAGGAAATAATGGGATTTGGCCATTTATACCCTTAATTGCTTCTGGGAGTGCCACTGGAGGACTAGAAGAAAGTCTGAGCATCATTTAAGTGCCACTTAGATTCCTAATGGAGTTCCATGTGTTTCATCTCCGTACTGGAAGGAAGAATTCTGATGTGTAAATGTCCTGCTAAAGAATAGTGTTGATTTCAGAAGGAACCTCTGCTACCAGAAAAGTTTATCTGCCATATACCTTGTTAGAGTGAGGGAGTCAAAAATTCAAATCAATAGGAATTGTTTTAATGATTGCTTTTCATTAACTGCAGCAGAAGTAATAAATAGGCCTCCTTGTTCCACATATGTTTAACATGAAGACTTATTTAGTTATAGGAATGATTTATAACCTTGTCATTCTTAACATAGCAGCATCGTATGTATATAACTAAATACAGTATATAGATATGCCACCTCGGCCTTTAACTACATTGCATGTTCCAAGTTACATAGCTGACTCTTTACGTGAGCAGTTGCAGATAACAGTGAAGGACCTCAGTAGAAGCTGTATTTTCCTCTGAGACAGGGCCATAGCACACATTTGGGGCTTATTCATCTGCTTTATTGTTAAAATGCTGTTATTCTTTGGGTATGTTAAAAGACATTGTGAGTTCTTGTGAGTTCTTAAAGATCTTACAGGTTTGGTTAAACCTCATGATTAGAAGTGTTTTCTGCCTGCTTAACTTATCTCTGTAGTTTCACTTGGTTAGGTGCTATCCAAAAAGTCGAGCACTGACAGGAGAAAGAGCTGTCACAGTCACCTTATAGCCAGTAGAGCCACCTAGTCACCCTGGAGCCACTTAGAGCTCACTGGCAACTCTCTAGCACTGTCCAGATGGTAATGTCTCTACAGAGTGGTTAGGAATGTTTGGGAGCCAGTGAGGCTGGGTGAATGAGGCTGACTGCATTTCCACATGTAGCTAGGTCCTTCCTGCCCTAGCATTCTTGTTGACTCTCCTGCAGTTGTACTTACAACAGACAGATGGTAACTGCCCTTTTATCCGTGGAGCTGCCCAGTGTCTCCAAGAAGGTCACAACAGCGCTGGGGCAGGATAAGCCTTTTCTATCTCTTCTTCCCGCTACTGGCTAAATAGCTTGTCCAGCAAGAGAAAATCTTGCAAGAGAGCTCTTGCAAGAGAGAATCTAAATTTGCTTCCCCAGCAAGAGAGGGAATCTTCTTGTTCTGGCAGAGGGAACCTGCATCCTGCCATAAGACACTCTTTTCTGCTATGTTGCCACCACTGTGATTCCTGGTGTAGACCAGGTATGTCAACTGCTCTAATATATGGCACTATTCATGAGGGATCCCATAAGCAGGCAGTGCAGAGGTGACATGAGGGGATCCTCTGTTTCCCATGTGAAAAGCTGCTCCTTAAGATCAGTGATTTCAGAAACCACAGCCAAAGATCCTGGGCAACTTGGTCTGGGTGACTCTGCTTGAGCAGCAGGGTTGGACTAGGTGATGCAGAGGTCCCTTACAACCTCAACCATTCTGTAATTCTGTGATATCACTTCATGGCTGGCTGTTGCGTCCAACCCTGCAGTTATGCAGGAGGTATTTATCACCTCTGAGATAACCACAGAAATTCAGTGCATTTGCATTCCTTTAGGAACTGTGCAGATGTGGCATGAGCGTGAAGAAGATGACTGAATACCTATGCAATATATTTCCTGGGCTTCAGAGACACAGCTTAGCTAGCCTTTAGAGAGAACAGCAGTGCAGATCACCTAATGGATACAAATAAATGAATGCCTCATGACAGCTAGCCTTTGAGTGAATTTATTATTGAATTACACTCCAGCTTTTTAAGAACAAGCTGAGCTGACAAGCTCTCTCACCACTGCAAAAGAAAAATAAGGACAATGATAAATTACCCTGATGGATAAAGGTAAAGACTTTGTCTCCTCCAAAATACTAGCAATTATATATTTTTCATGTTAGGGAAGAAAAAATAATCATTCCCATATTGAAATGAGTGTTTATGATGATAAAGCAAGTAGCTAAATTAAATTCTGAATGCACAGAATGTCTTTTCACATCATTTTGATGAACAGATAACAAGTACTCTTCTGCTGCTTGATCGTTCTTGTATTGATTTTGAAACCACTCACTCTTGCTGTTTGCTTTGCCATTCTTAGTTGTTTGTCACCGTAAGGAGCGGCACTATATACAGTGGTGTCAAGTTATTGACTTTCAAGCCGGACACCTGATATCCTTGTTCTCCTGTAAGGGACACTGTCAGAAAATTGTCAGGACAGGGTAAAGTCCTCAGTCACAGAATCTTTTATGTTAAGTGTCAGTATAACACTAACACATCTCGGAAATACATATGCAGGATTAGTAGTTTCTGTAAAGAACATTTGAAAAGAAGTCAGTTGATTTTTGAGTTGATGTGTTTTAGACCTCAGCTTTTTATAGCACAGTTTTCATATATCACTTGGTAATGGGACGCCAGTGTTATTAATCCATTCTAATTAAATAGGCAGCCAGATATAATCAGCTGAGTTATAGTAAAGACACATCAGAGAGTACAATCTGGTATCAGCTGCAAGAGTAGTCCCTTATTACCCGTACATAAAAGCCTAAGTACAAAAATAAGTTTTCATGGGTTAAAATTCTGATCAGAATCACATTTTCGCATTTCTTTTTCCATTTCTGAGTGATGAACTATCCCCAGACGTATTTCTGCAACTCCCTGTGCCTCCCTGCACAATGTACCTTACCAATCTGGTTGGTGAGGACTTATGCAAGCTCTATGAGATACTAAGGTGGAAAAGTACCCTATAAAGGGAATTGTGCAGTATTTTATTATAAATAAATAAATAGGTGCTTTTTTATTGTCATATTAAGCTGCATTGATCCTAAAACCCATCAAAACTAAAATTGTGAGTATTGATCATGGCCAAAG